AGTCCTTGAGAAAAGAAAGGGTCAGAGAAGGGTGTGAGGGCAGCCTTGACGTCACACTGGGGCCTCCACCCGGGTGTTCCTCCCTCCTTCCCAATACATAGAATGTGTTCAGAGGCAGCTCGGCCCCAGGAGAGGAAGTCTGGAAGCAAAGTGTGGTGAGGCTGGGCCTCCAGGGGCCTCTGTTCTCATGCCCTCAAGGGTCAAAATTGAGGGATGAAAATGTGCCGGGGTTAGGAGCCTTCAAATCGTTCTGACTCGGTGACCCTATGTACCATAGAACAAACACCTCCTGGCCCCACAGTTGTTATGTTTCAGCCCACTGTTAAAGCCACTGTGTCCAGCCATCTGCCTCTTTTTTGCTGACCCTCTACCAAGTCTGATGTCCTCCAAGGATGGCACTCGCCCAACAACCTGACCAAGCATGGGAGGTACAGGGAATTCCAACTACACTTCTTCAAGATAGATTTGGAGTTCATTCTTCTGCCAACCCATGGTGTAGCCAATGTTCCTCCCCAACACCATTATTCAAATGCATCGATTCTTCGGCGGATTTCCTTATTCCCTTGTCCCGCTTCCCCATGGACAACAGAAGTTCCAGAGTAAAGCCTTCAAAGTCCCTAACCCTTGATCGTCTGTAATGGCCTCCTCCTCCACTCACATCCCTGAATGCAATATGTCAATTATATATACACGTGCATTTGTAGCTTAGCTGTCCATGATGTAACTTCTTTTTAGATTTCTCAAAGGGAAGTCCTTGTGATGGGAAATGGTAAAAAATACATTTTTATTATCTAAAGATTCATTTTATTTTTAATTATATAAATATCCATTCATTTCCTCAAAGCAATGTTCACTTTTCTTACATGGAGGTATGTAAATATTCTGATAAAATCTAAAACGTTCTGATCTATGCCCTACATAGCTTTCTTGGAAGACAAATTTAGAAACACGCTCATCGCTGCAAAACAGAAATATATTGCATAAATATTGAATCCTGCATCCTCTAAATGTGCACAAAACATCAATTATTATTATTTTGTATTAAAAGATCATTTTATTGGGGACTCTTACAACTCTTATAACAACCCACACATCAATTGTATCAAGCATCTTTGTACATATGTTGCCATCGTTCTTTTCTAGACATTTACTTTCTGTTGAACCCTTGGTATCAGCTCCTCTTTTTTCCCTCCCTCCTCCACCCTCAGACCCCTTGACAAATTATAAATTAGTATTATTTTCATATCTTACACTGACTGCTGTCCTCCTTCCCCCATGGTTTCTGTTGTTCGTCCCTTTGGAGAGGGTGTGTAGTTATGTGCTGATCATTGTAATCAGTTCCCCCTTTCTCCCCTCCCCACCTTCTTCCTACCATCCTGGTATTGCTACTCCCATTCCTGATCCTGAATTCTGTTTCCTTAGCTCATGGGAGGGGGGGGGGTGTTAGGAAGCATCAAAGAACCAGAGGAATATTGTGTGTTTCATCGGTGCTTTACTGTGCTTTACTGTGCGCTGGTTGAGTCTTCCTTTCCCTAGGACCCCTCTGTGGGGGGGTGTCCCATTGTTTACAGATGGGTTTTGGGTCTCTGCTCTGACCACCCCTTCATTATCAACAGTATGTTTTTTGTTTGTTTGTTTGTTAGTTATGGGTCTTCTGATGCCTGTTACCTGATCTCAACGACACCTCATGATCGCACAAGCTGGTGTGCATGTTCCATGTGGGCTTGTTGCTTCTCTGCAAGACGGCGGCCGCTTGTTTAGCTTCAAGCCTTTAAGACCCCAGACACTATATCTTTTAATAGCCTGGCACCATCCACTTTCTTCACCACAATTGCTTATGCACACACTTTGTCTTCAGTGATTGTGCCGGGTGGATGAGCATCACAGAATGCCAGTTTGTTAGAATAAGGTTATTGCATTGGGGGAAGGTATGAGCAGAGGTCTGAAGTCCGTCCACTGAGTAAGTAAAACACCAATTATTTGCACATATAGAAAATACCAAGCACTGTGTCTCTCATGTACAGACATTTTTAAAAAGTGAAACTTAGCTGATATGTAAATTAAAATGTTTTGATGTAGATAAATATTAATATTTCCAGTATTGTCTTTGCTATATTAGTATTAAATGTCTACCCACCCTATCAAGCATGTGTGCCAAAGATATCTTAGAGTTACACCATGGTTTACAAAACTGCGGACATAATCATGCTGTACAGTTAAAAAGTACCATGACTTGATTGCCTTCATTGCAGTGGTTGATGTATTCAGCATTCCAGACTGGAGTTCCCATTGGTAACTTTATCAGGATGTATACAAGAGCATGTGCCCCTACTGGCTGGAGCTGTTAAATCAGTGGACACTTCTCTTGAAATGGATCAGAGACCTGTTGCCTAGTAATTTAATCTGACCTTGCTCAGCAATCATGCATATTGGATCCAATTGCGCCCAAGTATCCTTAGTGTACGCATACTTAGAGACCTGCTGAGATAAGGAGTTTCAGTTACAGAGAAGGGACTGTAGGAGATAGATGGCGCTGAAGGTGCTGAAGGGGCAGGGGCCTCATAGCTTACACAGGCTAGTGAATGGGCTCCCTCGTGTCCCTGAGTGAACTTTATTTCTGGCTGCCCTTTCTCAAATGCTGGAGCTGCTCTTCATGGTAGCACTTGCTTTTCCTTGTGTCCTGCCTGCTTGGCATTTAATGGGTCTTTGCTTGGGACAGCTCAAGAAAGAAAAAAAAGAACATCCCAAACTCACTGCCATCGAGTTAATTCCTACTCAGACAGTTCCTAGAGGACAGAGGACTGCCCCCCTGGATTTCCAAGACTGTGAGTCATTAGGGAAACAGAAAGTCTCATCTTTCTCCCACGGAGCAGCCAGTCATTTTGAACTGCTAATCTTGTGGTTAGCAGCCCAACACATAACTCATGACACCACCAGGGCTCCTTTTGGACAACTGGTGCCCTAAGCATGTGCTTACCTTTCCCTGTACACCAGGTGATTAAAAATAGATGCACCTTAGTGTTCAAGGTGCCATATTTGCTGCTTAACACTTTAAAGAGGTCTTTTTGCAGCAGTTATACCCATTGCAATATGCCATTTGATTTCTTGACTGCGGCTTCTGTGGGTGCCAATGTTGTATCCGGGTGAAATGGAATCAATGACAACTGTAATATTTTCGCCACGTATTAAGATCCTGATATACGTACTTTTGTTTTCTTTATACTGAGGTATAATTCATACGAAAAGCTATAGTTCATGTTCCTTGTTCGTATGTGCTTTGAGACCTCCTTTCAGCGAGCAGTGTTGCGTGATCTGCATACCAAAGGTTGCTAATAAGGCTTCCTCCAATCCTGATGCTGAATTCCTCATATAGTCCAGCTTCTCGGATTGCTTGCTCAGTATGTCAGTTAAGCGCAAACTCACTGGCTGCTCCAAGGCTAGCTGCTCCGGTAAAGATTCACAGCCTACAGAAACCCATATAGTCAGACTCCATGGGTTGGGTTTGGTTTGGTTTGGGGTAGACCGATTGCACGAGGATAGGGAAAGGATACAGCCATGATGCACACCTGTCTTGATTGTAAACCATACAACATCCCCTTGTTCTGTTTACATGACTGCTCTTGGTCTATGGACAGGTGTTTTCCTGTGTTTTATTGAGTATGCAATGGCATTTGACTGTGTGGCCCACCGCAAATTTCAAATTACAGATAACATTACAAAGAACGGGAATTCCAGAACACTGCATTGTGCTCCTGAGAAACCTATACATGGACCAAGAGGGCCAAGCTGTCAGCCCTGGTGATGCAGGAGGTCCAGCAGACCCAATGGGTGATGCCCGTATGAATGATGGCCCTCTCTACTCCACCCCCCACCTTAGACAGAGTGGGAGACCACTGGGAGAACTCAGTGGCCCCTGATGGGGTAGCCTGCCCAGTGAGGAGGATGTTGGGGACAAGACAGGCTTCTGGAAGAATAGTCCCGCCTCACCATGCGCCCTAGGAAGTGCAAGAACTCCCTCCTCTCCAGCGCACTTCCCTGTCCCCTCCTCATTGCTGCCTTTGCAGCCAACACCGAACCAATCAGCACCTCCTTCTTTCCTCTCACCAAGGCCTAGGGTCCTCTGAGTCAAAGAAGGGCCCTGCTCTAGTTAGGGGAGGCCTGGCGCTATGGACTCAAAAAACGCTAACTGCCATCCAGCCAAGGCTGACCACCCACCCC